CTTCTTTTGTTATGGTGTTTTTTAACAAGCTGAAATCCTGGATGCAGGACCTGCTGGTGTGTGACATAGTCTGGGTCACTGTATGTGCAGGCCCAGAGTTTGACGTCACTTTTAATAATACCAACAATATTTTGAAAATCTACGTACACACTGATCCCTACCTTCAACCAATGTCTGTGCGTTAGCTATCACATAGTCACTCCACTCTCCAAGTAGCGTGTTGCCCGCCCGGATGCGTACACGATACTCGGTATTACGAATTACGTTCACCAAAATGACACTGTATGGGAGGTTACTGTGTTCATGTGTAAGAACCGTCTCACGGTCTGGTTCCCCATCTCGTAGTCGGTAGGCGATCTGATACACAATGTTTTCTGAAATTGGGAAAAAGAGGTATTTTGGGTATTTTGAACTGCACCGTGGCTAATGGGTGGGTTCGGGAGTTACTGTGGTTTGGACTGGGAAGGGGTTAGAGTGGGGGCTGAGATGGGGTGAGGATTTAGGATCAAGTTGGAATTGAGGGGTAGGGGCTTACAGGTAGGAAAAGGAGTATATAATGGGAGTTGGTAGGGAAAAGGGATGGAAAAACAGGCTTGCGGTTGATGATGCTATGGGATAGACATGGATTCAGGTTTGCCTCTCAACCTTTGTGAATTTGAAGTATGTACTGTTTTTCTTATTCATTTTATTATTTCATACATCAGGGAATAATTTTCAGCAAAACATTTGCGTAGAAAATCTGCTATGGCAGTGGGATAAACTTGTAACGCATTTATACCCCTGTAATTGAGGTGCACATTTACAGCACACAATTACAACATGAACGTATCCCAGGTGGCTGCATCACGCTAGTCGTCAATGTGAAAGTTGAGACTGACTAGCAGCTGAGACTGACTAGCAGCTGAGACTGACTAGCAGCTGCAGGCCCATTCATGTCAGAATTCTTTCCTGCACAAACTGTGCTATGGAGAAACCTGATTTTCCTTTGAATTTATTTGTTTGTCTTTTTATGTTTGATACTATCTGGAAAATGGTACTATTAATCGATGAGCTGGTCTGAGCTGAGTTTTAGTAAGCACCCCGGCACCCTCTCGCCTGTAAACATCGCGGGGAAAGTACATGTAAGTTCCTTCCTTCAACCAATCTTGCCACAATATGGCATGAATATACATCACCCCAACGTGCGTAGGGATCTGAACCATCATTCATACAAGTTCGAGCAATGGCTATTTTTTCAACCTCTCGATGCTTTTGCTTGCTGTCATATATGCAAAAAGTACACACGCATGTACCAGGTAAAATTCACTCATGTTGAAGTCACAAAACGGTCTTCGAGCTGCGCTTTCCGGCCGTCAAAGCTCCGCTGCGCCGCGCGTGCAATAACCAACAGGCTTGGTACCCAGACACAAGGGTATTTTACAGTTTATTAGCGTGCGCATTGTCCCTTGTGTGGAAAGGTGCCCTGCTAAATGTACAGCGTGCTTAATGCACGCGAGGTTTTGTACTGTACACGTTCGTAACGATGCAAAAAATCATTGTACACCACACAGCTGGTTACTTTTGACCACTTTGTACAAGTTTTTGGTAAGAGGAAAATGACAAATCGAAGGTCAAAATGCTGACTGCTATTCTCGCACACGAAAAAGAGACACTTTTATTTTCATGTTTCTGGTTGTATTGCAGCAACTGGGATTCATAAAGAAAAGTGCGTAGCGACTTGGCTGAAAATGCATCGCGGATTGGGGCGATTCACAATAGTGCGCCACGAAGAGTTTGCAACGTGTTGGCCAATCGCGACACGCTAAATCTGTCGACCCAATGCGTGTTTGGAAAGGGTCGACAGATTTTGCGTGTTGTGATTGGCCAACATGTTGCAAAACTCTTGGAGGCGCACTATTGTGAAATGCCCGTATTTATTCAAACTTTTCTGAGTGTCTTTAAATCAAAAAAATAAATCAAATTGAATCGCTATTACTATAGTAAGAAGCAGAGATGGAAGAAGGATGCGTGGGTTAGGATCAGGGTTCGGGAGGGTTAGGATTCTCTTCATGATGTTTGCATACCGGGGTTGCCGTTGAGCACCTCCGGCTCTGACCACGTCACAATGAGAAGGTCACCTGAAGAGGTCACCAGCAGGTTCTGCGGTTCACTGGGAGCTGTGGTTAAGACAAAACAAAAGCACTGAGAAGAAAGGCAACAGATTCTCGTCTCGTGCTTGGGAAGTGGGAGCTGTCTTGCTGCTGTGAGGTATGGCACGGCATCTGATGCAATTTTGTCAAAGTTTCTACACAGATAACACAGTGAGTTTCTGACCCCATTCAACAGGTTGGGAAATATTCTTTCAGCTGCTTTATGGAGGTGGTAGATTATTCTCACGTGCCAGCAAGTTTATAACTATTGAGAGCATTTGATGTTTGGTGCTCAGGACGTCGTTTCCTTGACGGCTGAAGTTGTCAGTGGTACTCAACAGAGATAAGTGTCTTGTGAATTAAAGTTGGTAAGGAAAAGGGTTCAGCAACCTACCTGCTTCGGCTGTCAGCGTAAACGGTGTTACCAAACTGAATGCTCCTGGGCCCAGCTCGTTCACGGCACGCACACGGAAGGCGTACCCTGTGTATGGTGCCAACTCTGTCACCGAGGCAAAGGAACCTACTATCTCCAGGGCAACGTCCTGATAGCTGGCCTCCCCAAAACGTATGTACTGGAGCTGGTAACCGGTGACGGTGAGATTGCTGCTAGGGGCCGGGGAGGACCAGGCCAGATCTATGGAAGTAGATGTGGTGGCCGTGACCTGCGGGGTACCAGGCTTTTCTGGAACTGCAAATTGAGAGATACCACACAGTACTCATTCCTGAAACATATTTCCTTCATCGCTCATGATGGAGATTTCTAAAGGCAGAATTTTATCTAATGATGTTTAAATCATGAGAGCTTATAACATAGATAGCAAACATAGATAACAAAGACTCCATTCTAACTTATGACAAAGACTGTAGTCTAGCTTATGACAAAGACTGCAGTCTAGCTTATGACAAAGACTGCAGTCTAGCTTACGACAAAGACTGCAGTCTAGCTTATGACAAAGACTGTAGTCTAGCTTATGA